GTGTCTCTTGTTTCTCCGCACGTGCTCCCGAATCAAGGCGATAAAGTACGATGGCAAGGGTTTGACCCCGGGGCTCCGGGAAACAACGAGAATATTGGGATTTGCTGACCCTGACAACATGACCGCCGGGAGACAGAAGCGACGATGGAGCTCAGCGCAGAGTTATTGCTGTCATTTATAGCAGCGGCTGTAATTTTTTGCATTTTCTTGAGAATTTCCAGCTTCTTGTTTCGGTGTAAAGAAAGGTTTTTATTGAACCTCTGACCCTCAGAAATGTGTCGACAAGGTTGAAAAGCTTGCTATTTTTAAAAAACCATTTATCGGAGACAGAAAAGCAGAAAAATTCTCTGTTTTCTCAACTCGTAAATCGTCCTTGAACCAATCACGCGCCACATGCAGCATCTTCAGGAAAATTTAGCACAAATAAGCTTAGAATTGTGATATTTTATCAAAATTACTTCATTTTTGTACATATATCGTGTTAAAATTGGCCATAAATCACCCATTTACTTCAACCAAGGTTTGTAAAAAATTAAAAATTCTTCACTTCATGGCCCAACTTTGAAGCCATTAGTGACTGAGCTGTGACCGACAGTCAGGTGACGAAAATGTGGGAACTTTTTGATTGAACTACATTGAACTGCAGGCTGCAGAGAGGAGACAAGTATTGAATCGAATTAAAAATGTAAGTAAAATACCTATAGCATGTACAGACACCACTTTTTTCCAGTATTGGTAGCACCTGTTTTTCTAAGATAGATAAATAAATCAAGAAAATTCAACTTTTGAAGTCTGTTTTTAAGATTCGTTGCACTAAATCTGTGTCATGCTGCTCAGGAGAAGTTCTCTCTACTTCTAGTCTTGGGTGTGCTGTTCCCATCGAGGTGCATGAGTCAGAATGTAACGCAAAAAACGTCCATAAACTGGAATGCAGAGGGTTAACGGTACAACCCCTAAAGGTTTCTTCAGCTAAAAACAATTAAAAATCCGTACAGTAGCTTCCCTCCAACACACACACAGAGTTGCTGCCGAGAAACCTTTGTTTATTCCCGGTTCCAGCTGAGGCTATAACTAAAAAGAAAGAAAACATAAAAAGTCCCAGAGGCGGCGGAGCGCCCCAGCGACGGGTAGCTGTGGCTGGGTAGCAGAGGGTCAACAGACGGGTCCAGAGATGGAGCTCAGCTGGCACTTAATGCGTGAGCCACTTACAGTCGAAGCTGCCATGTAGCGAGACGAGGAGAGAAGAGAAGAGAGACGAGAAGAGGAGGAAGAGAAGAGGAGGAATGAGGCTGAGTGTCTGGTGAAAGTCCAGGGCAGTGGAGGCACCACTCCAGGGGCCGCCACGAACATCTGTGCCCCATTTAGTGATGTTTCTCCTCCTCTTAATTCCCCTAATTTTTCTTCTCTTTTTGGCTTGCGCATAAAAATCCATCTATCTATCCATCTAGCTATACGTCCGTTTATCCATCGACCTATGGAGGAGGCATCTCTCAGGTGTCACCCACAGAATAGATTATCACTGGGCCCTGCTCCGTGGCGCCGAGGTCGCGTGGGTTTAAATGGCCGGTCCAGGTGTGAGCGTGTGTTTTCGTACTGCACAGCGGTGTGTATACGACAACCCTCTCGGGGCGGAGGGGGGTTCAGCGCCGGCTCTCCTCTCGACCCCTTCGCCTCCCGCGACGCTCTGCACTCTGCTCTCATTAGTCCACGTAATGACACATGCGACGCACTCCAGCACGAACCGGCCAGACAAGCATGCATCCTCCTCTCCTGAAGAATTTATTTAAAAAAAAAAAAACAACACACAGGCGTGCAACGTATATGTGCCGGGTAGCAGGTGGCCGGTGGAGTAAGGACAGGAGATGAATGGAGGGAGCAAGGAGAGCGGCCAGGCCATGGGGGACAGCACGGGCGAGTCATTTATTAAGGGGCTACAAACACACACACTCTTACATGCGTGTCCCCACTACATTCAACCACAAATGCATATGCAAATACACAAGCATACATGCTCCCAGAGGCTTTAACCGCACACACGTTGACCCAGTATCCGCCGCTCTCCATTCATCTGACGCCTAAGTAGAGCAACGCTAGCCACAGAAAAGTTCCTCGGCGCTATGTGCCTACGAGACGTCTTCGCTCGGGGCCCTGCCTTTTCGATAATTTTTTTTTTTTTATTTTCCGAGATGTTTATCGTTTTCTGACCCATTTCGTGTCTTTGGCGCCCCTTGTTCGCATCCCTCCCGGTGTTAATGTTCCTACACTTTGAGCGCGAGTATCATTGATCCAAGCCCGAGTGTAAAAGAGAGAGAGAGAGAGAGAGAGGGAGCAGTAATATTCCAGGCCTTTCATAATGATTAAAGCCTTCATTAAATTTTCATCCCAACCTGCTGTTTGCTGCTAATGGCCTTTGTGAGCCACACAGCCAAACAATAGCTTAGCCGGGCACAGAAAAAAGGGATTTCTATCTCGCGTTCAATACTGCCCCCTCGTCGTGCCCTCCCCTTCCCCACCACTCTCCATTTCCCTCTGCCTCTCTTCATCTTCCCTTTTCTTCCTCTTTTCTTTTCTCTCTCTCTCTCTTGCTTGGCTTTTTTTTTCGGGTCTGGAGGCGCTCAGGCCTTTTGTTAGCGCGTTTCATTTAAGCGTAAGGGCAGATAATGCTCCGGGTTGGTTTGGATGCTGCACCACTGTGGCACTGTGCTAATGGGGTCTGTGAAGACACTGCTCTTTCTCTCCTTCACTTTTCCTTCCCCTTTTTACCTCCTGTCTTTCCCTCCCTCTTCCTCCCCCATCTCTCTCTCTCTCTCTCTCTCAGTGCTGGCTGACTCATAAAGATCCATTATTGTTGTTTTTTTTTTCCTGTGCAGCCGGTTCATGAGGTCCAGCGAAGCAGCGAACAACCCAAAACACACCTCAATTACAGCTCGGCTCGACAAACAGTCCAGTTTTTTTTTTTCCTTTTTTGTAAAATGTGCCACAACAGGCCTCCTCTATCGACTGGAATAAAAACAACCAGACGGCGAGAGCTGACCAGCAGTCTCGGCTGCTTTGAAAAAAAAAGCCTTACAGAAAAGCCTGGAAAATAAGGTTAGCACATCGCAGCTTGAAATGAAAGCCTGTTGATGTGCCGGAGGGGGGGAACGCAAACACATAAAACGCACCTACACTTAAAGGCAAATACACAACGCGCTGGCTGTGCTGTTCTTTCACCTCTTCGGGCAGGGTGTCACTCGGCCTCGAGTTCTGCGCCTTTCTGGGGGATGTTTGAATACAAAAACTCTGCAGCGGCGGATTTGGAAGGAGAGAAAAAAAAAAGAAAAGAAAAGAAAGATCTGATCCGATGGTTGTTTTCTGCTTTACAGGTCTTGGCGAGGACCACTTGGTTGTGAGGAAGTGAGGCTTGACCCGAGTTGGGTCCCACCTGGAGTTATCTCAGGAGGGTTGGCAGGCAGGTGTGGGCGACTGGTGCAGAGTAAGGGAATAAATGCACCACCTCCCCGAAAAAAAGCAGTTTTTTATTATGTTTCAGGTGTTTTCTGGATCTCTAAAGAACTCTAAGATGCATTGCTTCACCCTCTGAACCCTGAAAACACACCATCGGGTTAGAAAGAGACGCATTCAGAGACAGGAACTAATAAAAAACTATAAAAAAAAACAGAAAGAATCTTCAGGACTTTCTGTTGGCTTTCGGTTTTGTTGTGAAAATCAACTCAGCTTAAACTCTTAATCTCATTGTACATGTGTATAATGACATTAAAGGCATTCTATTCTATTCTAACTTGTGATTTTATTCTACATGTTTCGATTGAGAAATTGCCAAAAAATAAAGCGTTTGCACTAAACAGATTCTGTAAAAAGCTAAAAATTTTGCTCTCCTTGGTGCATCTGTGAAGCCATTCATGACTCAGCTGCAAGCAACAGTGACGTGACAAAAATTCAGGGACTTTTTGGAGATTGTATGCCGCCATTCTTCTCCTGTATTGGTAACACTTGTGTGTAGTTTTGTACAATAAATAATCAAAGAAATTCAACCTTTTTAGTGCTTTATGACATTATAAACTTGCTACTGAGTTCTCTCAATGGTTGTGCAAGTACCGTAGAGGTGCAGGACTTTATTATTGCAGTGGAAAAACGCCCCCAAAGTAAAAAAAAAACGCCCAGAAAGTGCTCAGGGTTCAGAGGGTTAAGCACCAGAGAGGAACCTGTTTTCAAGCTGTCACCGACTTCCAACGCAAAAGAATCCCCCACCAATAAAGCACCACGTTATTTATATTATCCCATCTTCCAAAAGGAGATGGACACCTGCTAGCGATATCCGTATCACATTATCACTATTACATGCATTTCATAGTGACTTAAGCCCCCATTTATATGCCCAGTGGAAATTAGCATTGGCCAAGGGCTAATTTTATCTCTTTTCTTGACTCCAACTGCTAGCCCCAGGCTAAATCTGAGAATGAAATGTGGGGGCTAATCGAGCTAAGCTATGTAGGCCCCTGGGCAAGACTCCGGCTTGGCTTCCTCGACAGTGTGTGAAATCTTTATCAGGGGGCTCGGGGAGAGGTTGCACTTCTTATTGGGCTGAAAGGCGCCTTTAATGTGAGCGTTTTCTTGAAATTAAAGCTGGGGGAAACATTTGGAGAGTTGTTAATACACCCAAGTATGTTCGCAGGCTTTTCACACACCCGCTGCACACACACACGAACACTTGCGCACACATCTCATTTGTCAGGTTGTGATAAATATGCAAAGCATGGTGGACAATAGGCCCGAGCAGCTGATGCTGTCTGTCTGCGTGCTGGAAAAAACAAAGGCTCGCCTCTCATCTGAATGTGTGTGGGTTCATAACAGAGGGAAAGCGTGAGAGAGCCGTAGAGGAAACAAGACAGAAAGAACGACAGAAAAGAAGAGGAGCGCAATAAAAAGAAGAGCGTGGCGCCGAGCCAGAGAGACGGACTCGCACATCTGGCCTCCTCACTGACCTTCTGGCTCGTTTTTGATCAGCTCCTCCATCTTGCGCTGCTTCAGTGTGTCCACCACGTCGGCCAGGCTGCCCTTGCGTCTCTCCGGGGTTCCCAGGGTGCCGGCGGCCGAGCCCCCGTCGCTGCAGGGCCGCCCGCCGCCTCCGCCCTCCTCTTTGCCCGGTGAGGTAGCATTGTGCTGGGGGTAAGGACTCAGCGAGCTCCCCTTGGTGCCGTCGTGCTCCTGGAAACAAGAGGAAATTATTAAGTTTCAGAAATTATCTCAGTGCGGAAGAAGAAGAAACGCGAAGATCTGGGAGGAGCTGGCTCATTATCTCCGAGCTTCTTTGCTACTCTTTTCTCCCTTTATTCTCTCCATCTCCCCTTCTTATAGCCCGATGCAGCAACTTTCATCCCCGGCCAGTTATCTCAAGTCAGGGCATACTTCTTCTTCTTCTTCTTCTTCTTTCCTTCTCGCGTCCTCTGGAATCTGCATTTGACTGACTTGGAGGTACTTGACAGAAGCGGCACATGAAACAGCGGCAAAAAAAAGACTCCGCAACACTCTTAAGTGTCAACGTTAACTCTTCATTACAAAGCCCTTTCGATGGCTCGCTTTGAGGGACGTCCAACGCCGCCGCACCAAATCCCGAGCCCAAGTTTTTCAGCCTTTCTACTTTTTTGTCTCGAGATTCATGACAATTAATGCTGAGGATGCAACTCGCAACACAAACACACATATACACACACAAAAAAAATGCACTCCTTTTGAAAAAACAAAGCTCTGGAGCTATGTCAAATCATTTCCATAAACTTATAAAAGGACTAAAAAAAGACTAGAGCATGACGGCAACAAAATATAATGTATACAGCTTTAAAGTGGGGCTCCTCTGCCAAGCTGTCGTGGGGAATAATCATCCCGCTGTGTCTAAAGTTTACAGCCTTTAACACCTTTGAGTTTGTTCGGGTCACTTTTTGCAGACAACAATCCCGCTTAGCGCTGCGTTTGTTTAATTTATTGTTCTCCTTTTTCCGACGAGTAACCCAAGTTGGAAGCGGCCGGCAGCTGAGCGGTAAGTAACTTTTAGCGTCTTAATCCGTGTACAAATAAAACCTGTGTTTGTTTCTTCAGCCGGCATTACGAGACCTAACGCTGGCTCAGCCCAATTAACAGTGACAGTGAGACGGGGAGGAACGCCGGCGGCTTTTTCGAGAACACGACCTGGCCGCACACATGCCAGCGCGTTAACCGGCGTGAACTCAGGTGCGCGCCGTTCAATTACAGACACAATCGGGCCCGGCCGGCCGAGCGGCTCAGCTCCTCTGCAGACGGGAGGGTCAATGGTCCACAGGGTTAATCTTTGGCTAATCTCACTACAGTATGGGGCATGCCACCTGGGACAGTGGCACACATACTGTATCTGCTTGCGCGTGGGCGTTCGCACGGGGACATTCCAGCCGTATTAATGCCATTGTGGCGTATTAAGCCAGAGGTGGCTCTCTAATCATTAACTCGCAGGCCGCCGGTGGAAGTGGAACTTAATACCGAGATCACAGTCCACCGTGAAGTCATCTCCGCACCAGACGACTCCAAAATGAGCCATTTGAGCGGACAAATTTTTTTCTTTTCCTTCCCTCCCCCCACTGTGTTTCCGCTGAGATACTCAATATTGAGGATGCTTTCATTGTCGGTGGTCAAACACTATATGAGAGGTACAGCGGACCATTATCACTTGGCATTTTCGACACTTCACCGGCTCTCTCTCTCTCTGAATAAGTCAGCACGCTCAATAATTCACTAATTCTTTCCTTGGCATTCTTGCGCATGCATTGTACCAGAGGGACAGATTGTGACAGCGATGATGAGGCTGGAACAGTTGCACATATATATAAATATATCTCTATACAATGTGGGGTGATGAGGCTGTTAACATTGCGGCGAACAGAAGTTGTCTTGTGATCTGAAAGCCTCTAAAAGGCTTCACTCTTCTCCTCTCACCACCTGACCAAGTGGCTTTTTTTTTTCTCTCCCCTCCTCCTTTATCGCTTCCTTCCTTCCTCCCTTCCTTTCCTTTCTTCTTCCCCTCACCCTTTCTCCAGATTAGGGAAATCTCAAGACTTCAAAAAAAAAAAAAAACGAGCGGATTTTTGTGATTTACGAGTTGCATCAGGCGCCGACATGCAAATGCGACGAGACAGAAAAAGGAAGAAGAAGAAGCGTGTTTCTTAAAAAAAAAAAAAAAAGTCAAAGAAAGAAATCCCAAAAAATAAAATTAAAAAAAAGCAAGAAAGAAAGAGGGAAGCGATGTTATTAGAGGAAAACGAGAGAGAGAGTTGACAGAGAGATCCACGACGGAGGAGCAAGAAGGGAAAGGCAAGGCGTCTTGAAGGCAGCGGTCACACCTGTCACATCCCATTTATCTAATCCAGCGCCTACTTAAAACAGCCGCACTCTTTCTTTCGAGAAAGATGTCGTGCAAACAAAACAAACAGAACAAGAATATGGGAGGGAGATGAAGAGAGAGAGAGAGAGGAGAGAAGAGGGGAAGCAAGAGGGGGGGAGGATGGATGGAGTTGGAGGATCTCTTTGCAGAAAAGCTGCCAGCGAGATGTCATCTGGCTGCGTCCAACAATGAAGGTCATTTCCCAATCAGAGGGAATTAGCAGGGAAGCGTCTTCAAAGACCTCGTACATTAGAAGGGCCCCGTGACATTATTTATGTGTGAAGTCAGACAGACAGACTTTTATCCCGAAGGCAACTTAAATCTTCTTCTTCCTCCGATCAAACCTCTCTAATCCAAAGTCCAGGGATCAAATAAAACTATTGTAAACCGGTGTCACTCACGCTTCCTGTAGTAACGCAGGTCGCAAAACTTTTCCCCCCCTTCCTCCTCTTCTCCCCTCTCTCATCAACATGCATTTATTCATGAGTACAAACAGAAAAATTCTGGCTACTGTAAACTGCTCATGCCCTCGTCTCTCGGTGCATGTGTGCGAGCCATTTTTTATTTTTTTTTTGCCATACATGTGTGACACCCCGATCGCCCGTAGGTGTGTGTGTGTGTGCTCGTAAAAAAAAAAACATAAATAAATAAAAAAAATATGAGCGTCTGCATATATATATGTATTTATACGCGCTGGATGTGGCAAGGCTGGCTAAGTGTGGGCGGTTCTGCCTTTAGTTTGCAGATGTCAATTCTCTTCCAAATGACTGGAACAAAGTAAAAATTGCGCCTCACTCTCTTTATCCTTTTACTGCCTCTGCAATGGAACCGAATTAAACAACTTTTGTCTTCTTAAGCTCATCTGTGAGGGGAGGTTGGTTTAAAAACACTTAACTCTTGCCAAAAAAAAAAAAAAAAAAAGCCCCAAATGCTATTTTTTTTTTTCCTACAGCCAAGCACAGATGCCGCTGTTCATGTTCTCTCCTTTTTCTTCTTCTTCTTCCCTTCCTCCCTCTCTCTCTCTCTGTTTGCCCGACTGAAGAGGAAACTCTCCCTCTCTCTTTTTTTTTTTTTTTCCCTGCGCCATAGCCTGACATGTCTCGGGCTGTGCAAGGTGTAAAAAAACAATATTTGATGCTTGGCGCGTCGCTGCGGATCAAGGCATGGACAATGTGGCAAGTAGGAAGAAAAACTGGAAACAGCTGCTCAAACTAAAATACATGCACACAAATACACACCAGGAGAATGTCACTGATCGCTCCTGCAGGGGGGCGAGACTCAGCTCGAGCGCCAGAGCTGCCAATCTCGCCGCCATATACACTTTTACCGCGCACTGCCAAGACGCACACACACTCGCGAGCAAATCCCTTTACATGCCATGGCTAAACACAGACACTGTCAGTTTTGACTCGGGGGTCCCTCAGGCTGGGACAAGCCGGAGCACAATACTTCCTTCTTTGCTGCATGCGTTCCAAAATTTTGACCCACAGATTTTAAAAAAAAAAAAGAAGACTGTGGCACATAGATAATTATTCAGAATTTTAAAAAAAAAAACACCATTAGGAAATGTTAATTGTCTATTTAAGTCATTGTCCAGGAATTACACACTTGCCCCCTTCCCTTATCTTAAAAACACGCAGCTGTATTTTGCCGTATTTTAAATAGCAGTTTGGCTAAAATGTATGACAGTATATTTTACCACGACCCCTCACTGTTGACAGGCGAGCGTGTGTTGATTCATTAGTGCATCACTGGCATGAGAAATTAAGTGTGACCACTGTGTCTCAAGACTGCTCAATGACTGTGTTAAATCTGTCAAATTCACATGAACACACACACACACACACACATAATCACACATACAAATTGCACACACCACAAAAAAAAAAAAAAAAAAATGGAGGGGAAGACGGAGGGAAAAAACGAATAAACGCTCGATGAAATATCTTTATAGTTTTTATAGCGTGCGTCTCGCCTGTTAATGAAATAATTAGTGTTTGTCCATTAACACGTTGATGAGAGAAGATGCTTGATGTGAAAACATTATTATTTTCTTGCAAACGTAAACATTAGAAGATGCAAAAGAAAGGGGGGGGAAGGAGTGTCCTGGTAGGAGAAACCACAGCTAAAATCCTTCCCATCATGCATTTGAACTGAGCCAATGAGGGGTTGCACCTTTGCGTCACTCCCAATGAAAACAGCCCCTTTTACAGCGAAACTACAAACCATTATGAGCTGCCCGGATAAAGACTTTTTTTTTTTTTTTTGGTTAAAAAGATAAAATAAAAGTGAATAATCCGACCACCTTTTCAGGCCTTTTTGTTGTTGTTGTTGTTGTTGTTTTCCCCTCCTAAATGTGCAGCTGCAGGTAAAGCGGCCGAGCCAAAGCCGAACAGGCAGGCGGAATGAAGAGGTCAGTGTGTGGCTGAGCGCTTCTCCGCCACCGTGTTAATTTACTATGACAAGATAAAGCTGTAATCTTGCCTCACCCCCGTCCTCCTCCCTCCTCCTCCCCTGCTGCCTCACTTCCAAGTCAACCGATGAGCTTTTTTTTTTTCCTTTTACTGCCCTGCGAGAGCGAGAGAGAGACCCCCGCTTCCCTTGTTGTAAATTTCTCTTCACTCTTCATCCACTGACAGTCAGCCGGTGAAGGGATTGGCACTGTTAACCCCCTCCCCTCCCTCCAATTCCTCTCAAATAGAGGAAAAAAAAAAAACTTAACACACATCTTACTACATGCCAAGCAGGCAGCCGGATAAGCCCCAATCCCACCCCCTTGGTTTAATAATCCACATCAACACATCACACGTCAACAATCGCCCCATGTTCCTGCCCGCTAATGAACATTTTCGCATGAATTTTTCCACGTCGGGAGGCTACAATATAGCATTGTTGTCGTCGCTGCTGTAACTTTTCACCGGCGTCCCCCAGCAGATAACCGGCGGCGAGCGCGACGAGGACTTTGGTTTACAGTCAGCACCTGCCACACTCGCAGGGTCCACCGTGGGAGGGGCCTGCAGGCTAATCAGCGGGGCTAATTACAGAATTAGCTTTCCATTACAGCTCCTAAGCACTGTTTCATTGTTTTACAGCATGTGAGCGTTTATTGTCAGCACGCAGGAGGAGGAGGAGGAGGAGGGGGAAAGGTCGGCAGGCGTTATCTGGCGCCGCGACAGGGCGTGTTATCAAGGTGAGGGCCAAATCCTTCAACAGATGAAGCTCTAATGTTTAGCAGCATGCACAAAAAAGAAGCAACACCCTATACAGTAATCACACTCATGTACCCGACATGCACCGTAAACATGTGCAGAACGACTTCCATGCAGGAAAAAAAACAACAAGAGTCGTCCTTAAAATGCACATATAGCGACGCATGTCAGCGAGCAGACGTTTGCAGTAAGAACCCCCCGTATACAACACACACACACACACACCGGCCTGTACCAATATTTAACATGAATCACACAGAAAGATGCAATTCCGCTGTACAAACACGCACTTACAAACACGGAGCCATACATTGGAGCGCCGCTTGCACAATGTCACACTTCATCCCCAAGAAAATGACTCACTCCAATGGCTCACTTTTTTCTTTTTTCTTTTTTTGCAGTCACGCAACTGTGCATCAAATGGGCTCAAGGCGACGGCTGGTGGCATAAAAAAAAAAGAAGAAGCGAAAACACGTGCGCACCCAAACAGTAGCCTTGAACCTCTCCTCGTTGTTTTTCCAAACCGCTTTTTTTTCTCCACTCGCAGAGAAAGTCGATTTCTGCCTTTTTTAGGTTTCTTTTCAAGCCAACAAGTATCCGCTTATTTTTCTTTCTTCATTGTGAAGACGGCCATAAGAGGAGTAAACAGCATACCGGAGTCAAAGGGGAGCTTCGCATCCAGACTCCGTTTCATTTCATTCAATATGCAAAAATAAAATTGTTTACTCGCTTGGAAATTCCGTAAAAGCGACACAATTCTAATTATTTTTGAGCGTGTTTCGTTCCTGAAACTACTTTATGGACCCATTTCAGAAGCAGACAAGCGCGCAAGGTCAAGGAAGTTAATTTCCAGCTGAATGCATCCGCGGATATAAAACATTTTTCTAGCAAAAGGTTGTAATTTATAGCCGCTTTTCCAGCTCATTTAGTCAGCCTGCGTTCAAAAGACGGAGGGGTTCGTAGTTTTTACGTCAGCGCTGACCGTCCCACTGTAAAAACAAACGGTCAGGATTAACCGTGAACACGATCTGATCTGGGGTCTGGTGCCCTCGGGGGTCACTTTCCACCTCGAGCAGACAGCTTTATAGGAAGCCAAGGGCAGAAAGCCAGAGATGAAGATGAAGGCCAGAGCCGATGACGGAGGCGGCACAAGCCAAAGGAGCAGACAGGTAGCTCATTGGACGTGCCTTAGCCGGTTATATCGTTATTTTCAGAATGAATTCGGAGCGGCCATCAATTTTTCAAGACCGTTATAATGGAAGAATATTGTTAACAGTTTGAGTTTTTTGTCTGGATGTCTTTCCAACCCGGGGCAAATATTAATATTGATGTTTTATAAATGGAGAAGAAGACGCTGTCACCGTTTCAAGGATAGAAATTCACATCAAGTGCGAGTTATCATGTTACTTCAACTTCCCATAATGCTTTGGGGCATGTAAACATAAACAAGTTCTAGCTTTAGACTCTATTTGCTTCCATCCTGCACAAGTGGAGTCAACCAAAAGTAGCCGAATTAGCGGTTAGCACTTTTAGTCCACTATCACCGCATCACTTTGACACCTAAGAAAATTTTGAAAAGTGTTGATTTTAAACCAAATCCTGCAGTCATTTCTTTAACGACGGACATCAAATGTAGGGTCACGTGGAATCTACGCAACTGGATTCATCCAAAACGTAGCCGAATTAGCAATTAGCACCTTACGTTTGCGATGTACCCGTGAACAGACGGACGACCGTCACTGCACTGCTTTGACACTTTGAAACGTGACAGACAGCATGTTCCTGGAGTTATGATAAGTAGATTTACCGCCATTTTTTTTCTTTTTAGCAACGTGCGTCCAACACGGGGTCACACGGGATCTGAAACTTGTTTGGTGTCAGCATGTTCAGATCTGACTTAAAGAAAACTGTGTTTATTTCAAAGCAAATGTTGGGTGCAGGAGGTTAAAAAGAACCAACAGTGAGGACGTTTACTCTGAAACCTTTTGGAGAAAGTTTCCATCGAGGACAGAGTTCTTTAAGTAAGACGTGCTTTTAGGTTCAGAAGCAAGTTCTGGAGTTATAAACTTTAGGGTCAAATGGATTCCAAAATGAATCCGCGTGTTTAAATTTGTCCGAGTTGTGACTTTGAGAAAGAAGTAGTAGATTAGTAGATTAAAAAAGACGTAGGAGTGATTGAGAAGTTGGTAGAGAGTTCCTCAAATGAGACATGCAACCACACAGTTGGGGTCAGACGCAAATCCTGAAGCAAGTTCTGGAGTTTCACTAAGAAGGTTTCTGGCCATTTTGTGCGACCGACATCCAACGTAGGGTCACGAGGAATCTAGAAAGTGTTGGTATGTTCAGATTTGGCAGTAAAATGTATGAGGTAAATGGTGACAGTTGGGTTGGTTGAAAAGAGCTACGAGCGATGGAAAGGTGAGGACAGAGTTCCTCAAATATGATGTTCGACTGTTCTTTGGGGTTCAGAAGCAAATCCTAAAGCAAGTTCTAACGAGGAGAAGTCTTATGGCCGTCTCTTTGTGACAGACTGATGTGTGACTTCAAGAAAATTTGGCTTCTTGATGCAAAAGGTTGGTTAAAAAGAGCTATGAGGTCCTCAAATAAGGCGTGCGACCATTCTCTTGGGTGCAAAAGCAAAACCTAAAGCAGGTTCTGGAGTTATAATGTTCTTATCGCATTTATAAGCAGATTTATGGCCATTTTTTTCCTTTGCGATGCTCAGAAAACCTAAATTTTAGATGCAAACACTGTCAGTCGGGTGCAGTCGGTTAAAAAGAGCTAACAGTCGGGAAAAACCTCACTTTGGAATCTTCATTGAAAGTTTCCATCAAGGACAGAATTCCTAAAATAAACCATTCTAGCAAATCCCGAAGCAGCAACACGACCCACAGCGGGTCAAACCAAAACGCCAACCTGCTCCGACCCTTCATCCGCCCTCGAGGCCGCCGTCGCCCTCGAGGTGAGCGCTTTCACCCCTCGAGGTGAGACCGAGCGATGACGACAACAACAAAACAGAAAAAAAAAAGAAAAGCCTGTCCTCACCGTGTTGGGGGGGCTGTCCAAGTTGCGGTTGGGGGGCGAGCGAGGGGACACCTTGCCGCAGTAGGAGGCCAGGGGGAGGTGGATGACACCACCCAGTCCTTCGCTCTCCTCATCCTCCACTCGCTGTCTGCTGGTTGCCATGGTTACCTCTCCATCTGTCCCCCCATATGGAGAGGCTGGTCGCTTGGAAGACATCCTGGAAAAAAAAAAAAAAAACAGGAGATAGAAAGACAAGAGAGAGAGAGAGAGAAGGAGAAACAGGAGTGAGCAATATTCAATAGATGATATAATAGGTTGACAACTGGAGTTATACGAAGGGAAGGTTCCTGTGGATCAACTCCTGGAGCAACTTTTGAATTTTTTTGCTGTCGTGCAACACGATGCCACAAATATATCTAAGTCCTTCCAAATCCCATTCATCTCCTCAACCTGCACCAGCTTCCTCTTCTCCTCTGTTTTTTCCTGGACAAGTTTCTCTCTTTTTTTTTTGTTTTGTTTTACACTCAGCTCTTGGAGTGCATCTCCTCCACAATATCCCTCCTTTTTTTTTTTTTTTTAGCGAGCACCCAGCTTCTTGGCAGACCTTCAAACACCCTCTCAGGTCTTACAGTATGTTTACCATGGGGGCCATTCAACGTTTTCCAAAAAAAAGGGACGGGGGCCATTACTGCAAATGGAGCCCGCTTGCACCGGCATTGTGGGAGGAAATGACCACGTCTTGACAATAGGCTTTCAGAGAGAAACACAGATTGAGAGAGAGAAAAAATAAAAAATAAAAAAAAAAAGAGAGAGAGAGAGCGAGTGTGTGAGAGCAGTACGTACAGTGGCAATAATATGTGTTTATGAAAACCTCTGGACAATGGAGGAACTGGAAGGAAAATAGGCAGCAACGCGACAGCCCCGCTGTTTGCATTTGTTACCGTGGCTTTGTTCCCCTTGAAAAGAAGGAAAGGATATAAAGCCACATCTATTAGGTGAACTCTGTCTCTCACAAGGTAAATTTGCCTCCCTGTACTTCAGCTGAATAGGGATGCAGTGACTATGTGGCAATAATAGAATTTAATGTGGTTCTCAGCATCGCCTGAGTGCTTTCAGATGCACTTGTCAGCCTTGAAGCCACTGCGACTATGACCCTGGGTAATAGGCTGCTAACGCTCAGTCGCACGGAGGGGAATGGAGGGATGGAGGTGTGGATGGAGGGAGCTGTGAGAGAAGCAACAGGCGTCTGACTCTCAGACTCCTCTGACACGTTCACCTCCATCTTCGCGTCTTTATCCCGCGTCTCCCCTTCAGCACCTCGAGTTCTCGCCCCCCCGTTCTCCAGACTGATTGCACTCTCGACTCTATTGGATTTTTCCTCCGGACCGTACATCTGGCATTGTTCCTCGTGGGAGCCCCGCCGCTAATTCGCCGCTTATTTACCTTATGACAGTGGAAAGGTAAACAACATGGAGTGCGGCTCGGCGGAGACGTGCGGCGCGTTGGGGAGTAATCGAGTAAACTCAGCCCGAGTAAAGGGAAAAAAACTCCACTTTAATTGTGTTTTTGGATGAATTTGGCAACAGAAATCCACAAATCTTGCAAGTTGTTTAGTAATTTGAACCGAATTTTGCAAAAAATGTCACTTCTTTGCACCACTTTCAACTCCGCTGAGCTTTTAAAGGCGCCACAGTCTCGTTTCATCTCAAGCAAAATTGCTGCGTAGCTTTTCCCCAACTTCTGCAGCGCCACAAACTCTCCATTTCTTTTAATTTTTCTTCCCCCCCCTCCCTCCTCCTTCAATCAAGGTTAGAGCGACTGAATCAGCTGTTGCAATAAACGGACAGCGAGCGCCGAGCAAACACTTGAAACCGACAGGAATCTGCGACTCATTTCTCTATCTGTTTATCAGCAAACACTGCAGCCATAAAAAGGGGAGAAGATTTGCCTCGATGACAAAAGACTGAGGAGATAAAACTGCACGCTTAATCCCACTGATATTAAAATGACTTTTTTTATGATGTTGGAGCAGAAAGCTGTACGTGTGCGTCTGAACCTGTGAACACTATCCAACGCAAGCTGCAGGCCCAGCTGTACAAACTGCACACACACACACACATATGTGCACAGAACATACATAGAACAGAGGCCCGAACACTGCAGCTCTGTCTTCATCACTACCTGTTTACTTTACCTCCTTTCACTCCCTCACACTAAGGCCTTTTGTTTCACACACACACACACACCTCCCCTTGTATCCAACCTCTTGCTTGGCCATAATGCACAAAGTCTTTTTTTTTTTTTTAACCGCTTACAGAAGCACCTTTTGAAAAGGCCCGGAGGATTTTAATTTTACAGTTTTACCATCCCGGCATTTAACCACAGTAGCTGACATATCTAGATGGACTCCAGAGACAAGAGCGGTTACACATTAACGCGTGAAACAACACAGGTGTCCAAAATAATAAAAACTCCTGAGATAGAGGGAGAGGACTTCACTCTTGTGTCATCATTGTTTTCTTCTTCTTCTTCCCATTTGCCCCCCTACAACTCCTCCACTGCTGCTACTACTTCCTCAGAGGTGGGCGTCTGAATGAATGAATGAAGGAGGCAGTTCGCAGCTCCTCTCCGGCTATAAAATCCCTTCTTCTTCCCCCCCTACACCCCCCAACTCTTGTATCCGTCTTTGAAGTGGAATTACTATACAATTGGGCACAGCGGGGTGTGCAGGTTACGCCGGCTACTTCATTTAAAGTTTGGCAGAGGGTGGCGTGCTGGTTGGAGGCTGTCTGCGAGGATTTAAAAAAACAACAAGATGAGGTTGCATTAAGTTGACGAGAGGTCATAATTAGTGATTTTTCTTCCAAAGTCTGGGAAAACCACACCGTTGCTGCTGAAATCAAATTTTTTATTTGAGCCCTT